AATAGTCAAGAGAAGAGTTTCAAAAGAGTTACCAAGGTTTTTAAACATGATTTTCCAAATCATGATTCCATCTTCCTTTAATGCAGCTTGCACATTTACTTTGTATGAACAGGAAAGATTTTTTTTTCCCTTTTATTTTTTCTTTTTTAAAAACAAAAGCCTGCTTCATGAAGCTTAATTTTCTTTCATTCTGTGAAGTCGTAATTGTTCACTTGTGATACCTTAATCTAGTGTCACAGATGACTGCAAGATCAAAGGTACGATTATGATGACTTCATCTCATGGAGAAAAATTAGAAGGGGTGGAATGCAAAAGGGAAAGCTTTAATTTCAGCTTATGTTGCTTTAGCAACCAGAATGATCCCAAATCATGTTAAAGGCACCAACAGATTATATTACTTTTTTTAAAGTTTCTATCTTAGCTTGGAGGGGCTTAAAAGAAACAAAGTTCTAATCAGGGACAAAGGTACAAGAAACTTAGATACACACCAGTCTTCGGGTTCTCTGTGTTTTGTTTTGTTTTGTTGTCTTGGTTTGTTTTGGTTTGTTTTTTTGGGGGGTGTGATGGTGTTTGGTGATGACTTTTCAATATACTGTTTTCATACTTAAGGCAGGATCCTCTCCTAAGCCACCGTCCTTTGTAAGAATCCCGTTCAAAAAAGAAGGGGACCACTCTGAAAGAGGGTGTGAAAAAATTATGGACCACTCTGACAGAGGGTGTGAGGAGACGCAGTACCTGATTCTCATTATGCTCTTAGAAAGCCCATCTCAGATTTTCTTGGTTGGTTGGTGGATTTGATGACTGGGGTTTTCTTGGGCATCAATTGCCTGAATTTCTTTTAAAATTTATGACTCTCATGGCATTCAAATGCAATAGAACTCCATATTTAATTTACTTTAAAAAAAAAAATCAATTTTTTGACTTTATGAGCAGAAAGAAAACTTTTTCAGAGTTACCTGACAGCTTTTTAAGAATTGAAACATCTACATGCAAACCAAGTACCCCTTTATTTGCCATGTAAAAATCTTACAAGCTTCAAGAGTCTAAATCCATCAAAAAATTATTTAAACCAGCCTTGTAACATCTTCAGAGGGAGGAAATCACAGAATTTAATTTTGTGCTTGGCAGCTGATACTACTGCTAAGTCTTGAAGGACCTAGAGGGAGTATGTTGAGAGCTGGACACATAATCTGCTGTGTCGGGCAATGGAGGCAGCCTGACCTTGTGCCTCCCACATGTCTCTTCTCTGTCTGGCCAGAGCTGTTGGCTGTGCCCTGTGTGTTACAGCACTGGCCATCAAATTACAGTTATCTTTTTTTTTTTTTTTTTTTTTTTTTTTTTTAGGGGCAGACATAATTTTGCTCTAAATATAGAGGAATAATTTTGCTTAACCACTGAAACACACAGCAAGGTTTTAGTTCAGGGTATGACGTGAAGGATACATTACACAAACACTTTGGGATTTATTTCAAGGTGTTAATTTAACACTGAAACCCTCTACGTAGCCTTTGGCCTGGTTTTGTGAGAGATGGCCATAGCATAATGGTTGAGATCTGGTAGGGCACTCGAGCAGGCGGACCTGCTGGCATCACTCCCCAGTCAGGGATGCTGCACGCTGGACTCACTTCCCTTTGCCAAGAAGCTGAAGTGCACCCCAAGGGCTGTATTTTCCATAGAGCTGTTCGGTTTAAGTAGAGGTGGGAAAGGGAGGAGAGGTGTCCTGGGAATCTACATGTCCAGTGTGTAAGGAGCAAAACTACATGTGTTGCTACCTCTGGGCAGGGATCCTGAAACATGCTAATGTTTGTGTCTCCCAAACAGAAAAAAAGAGAATAATTTATTACATGATGAAAAATGTAATTGCTGAAGTGTGTTCTTTATTTCTTTCAGGACCAAACTTTTTACTTTTTTTTTGCCTGCCGTTGTTCTTACAGATGCAGTCCATCTCGCTAGCTGCATGTGTGACCTGCCTTTCCAAGGAAAATTTACAAAGGACATAGCACAAGCAGTAGCAGTGTATCTCACAACTGAGGTCCAGGCTCCTTGGAAACTGGTTCACACAGCATAATCTGAATCATTTTGTCAAATTGACAGCCTGAAGGTGTGTTCTGAAGCAAGGTAGTGTCTTCACTGGCCACAGAAGGGCTCAAGAGGTTCCCAAACCCCCTGTAAGTCAGAAGTGTGTGGCTGCTCCTTCAGCTCAAAGTCAGCTGCTGCTGCTGGTTTCTGCCTTTTCTAAGGGTTTTAGGCAGTGAATTCACATGAGGATAGGCGTCTTAGCTCCATCTGCAGCCTGATGTGAGACATGAATTAGCCACCATGGGCTCTCTTGTTACTGCAACCTTTGGGGCTGTGGTGGAGGTCTCTGCCCAGTAGATTCCAGCCCGTGATCCTGCCTGCTCGTGTGTCAGCCCATGTCAGATTGAGTGTCACCCACTGCACAGTGTCTCCTTCACCTCTGTCATGAGATCTGTGAAATCTGCCCTCTGAGCCTGAGCAGGCACCAGTATTTCCTCTATTTTCTTAAATTATTTTCATAATCCCAATTTCTGAACTAAAACATGGGTACAAATTCAAATCTGAAGGTTTTGCCAATCATCAGCAGGCCTGTCTGCTTTCATCATTATGGTTTTTATTTCTTCCATGTACAAACCAAACCTTTCAAGGGCAGGAATCTTATTTTTCTACATGAGAACAGCACAAAAGAGCTCCAGTCTTGGTTGCTCTTGCGGCTGCCAGTCTCACTACTCATCACTGAAACATACAAACACTGCTGAGTTACTTAATTTTGTCATTTAAAATATATTTTTAAGAATTATTGAAATGATTTTTTTATTTTCTGTAGCAACAGTTCAATTTTTACCATTTTATCTACTGTCTGGATATGCTTTTATCTATTCGCAGAGTACTTCACAGGCAATTTTATCAGGGCAAAGCCAGTTTACTCTCTGCTTTGCAGCACAATACACACTATATCTGGAATATGCAGTTTTTATTTCTCCCCCTTAGTAGTCAAAAGTTAAGAGGGAGAGGTTTGTCTGAATTAGCACCAGTATTAAACCGCAAGTCTCTAGCTACAGTTTTGCTCTGGTTGCCTGAATTTTGTTAGACATCCTTCACCAAGAACTGCAACCCCCTGCAGATTCCCTAGTAATTCTTGGTGGTAAGTCACGGGGCTTATCTATTCCATCTAGGCCTGATGGACATTAAAGCTTATGATGCACTTGTGTAATATATATATGAGCAAATTAAACTTGCCTAGGAGCTGAGGCCATCTGAGGCCACAGAGCAGTCCATGTCCATACTATTAAGCTTTCTCAACCTCAAAACCATCATGACTACATATAAACTGACAATTGGGAATTGTTCCTGGCCTGGGCTAACTACCAAACAGAGCTAAGAAAATGTCTTGGAGAGTGTTATTTGGCTGGTGCCAAAAGCATGACAGGGACTGTTCAAACAATTCAGGGCAGAGATAAGCACCTCCCGCTGCCTCGGTATGTTCTTTGCCATTTGCTAATTTACTGACATGGACCGAGCCTTATTCTAACCTGTATGCAGCTTGCCACATTTTTGCTTTCTTTTTTTTTTTTTTTTTTTCCATGGCTCACCTGAGAGGGTACCACCAGTGTGCAGCACACACTGTGTTATTTGTGCACTCCACAGGCTGTGGTACACTGTGCAAAGCAAAATGTTGGGGACTCAAACCCCTTGGAAATTAATGGACCAAACATTCTGTGTTAAATATTGTTTTTATCCCTCCCATGTTCAACCAGGCCTTCATTTATTTAGAGACAGAGATACTTATAGCTCCCTTCTAGTGGACTATTTCTGTCTCCTCTGCTTTCATCACTCTTATGAAAACTACAAATAAATGTCTAATTATTATCAGATGTTTTAGAACAATGTAAATACTTATCCCCAGAAAATTATCTGAGGAAACATTATTGGCCTTAGCTGTTAGGAGCAAAAGCCAATTTTGTTTTCATTTGGCAGCAGCTTTATTCTGTTACAAGAGCAGGCACAGGCGTTGCATTGTTTTATGTATTTTGTAAGTAGTGATTTAATGACTTGACTTGGTGACTTTTTGTTCAATTTTGCTTTCTTCCCCCCAACTTTCTTGGCTACTTTTGATAATCACAAATAAATGAATATAACTTCCCTGAAGTTATACTGATTTGTGCAGTTAAGGCTATTATTGCATACGATATATCATATGTATATATAAAAATATATATTATATTTACGAATTTCCATTATGTACGAGCTTTGAGCTTCATTTTGGGCATTACATCTTGGCTTATGCCAAGAGAAGGACTCCTGTTGCGCTAGGGGAGAACATATATTGATTCTTCCTTCTGTGGTAAGCAGCTTGATGGACCACACAGACCTTGAGCTCTGTGTGAGAAGTATTCAAAGAAGGGATATCCTGTCTTACGTGAAAAGAAACGCTAAAGTTTTGCAGCTCTGTATCTCTGAAGCATCTCTGAAGTAATTTCACAAAAAGATAATACACCGTGTACCTTGTAACATCCCTGCAAGGTAGCAAGTTACATTACACCCAAAATACAGCTCAGGAAACAAAGTTAATCACCAAGTTAATAGCTGAAGTCGGACAATATTTGATGTCAAAAGAAAATTTAATGAAAGCAACCAGAGGGAAAGTCCATTAATTTTTGTACCATGTTCAGACTAACTGCATTGTCTCAAATTCCTAGAACTCTCCTAGTTTTATAGAAAATATGATTTTCCCAAATGCTTATGGAGGTAAAGAAAGTGATAGAACTCACTACCCCAGGAACAAGTTTTTTCTCAAGGATTTTTTTAATGTCTTAAGATTTCAAAAGGTTATAACATGTGCTGATTTGTTGGAACAAAACCAGGTAGCACGAGAGAAACAGAGGATCTGAAGGATCATCCCAAACACAATTTTTAAGGTGAAAAAGTAGCTCAGTTAAATACTATCTGATTGAAAATTCCGTCACTTTGATTTGAACAAGCCAAAGGTCATCCTTGAAAGCGGAAAGGAATGGCAATTGGTAACATTTTGATGTGAAAAAGGGTTAAGCATTCCAGCTTGTAACAGTCAGCCTAAATGTTGCAGTCATCGTTTGTCAAACTGAGTTACATCCTGAGAAACCAAATTAATGGTGACAGCTTCAGAGCTTTTTCCTCTGAGAAAAACAGCCATGCAAAAGAAGCAAATAAAAAGGGAGGTAAAAAAAAAGATAGAATATGAATGTATTCCTCCCTGGTATTTCATATACATGTTGGGCATCCTTAACCAGCCATTCCAAATACTGATTTATCAAATTTGGTGCTATTCTGGTTGCTGGGATTTTTTTTTTTTTTTTTTTTTTCCCCAGAAACATATTTGTCATGATGTGTGAACTTCTTCAAATTTTAATTAACTTGTGTGAAAATCTTTCTGCCGAGAATTAATGGAAAGAACACTCACACTGCAGAATCTGAGCATCCTTAAGAGGTATCCTCAGCTTGGGTATCAGGTTTTGTACACACAATTGACTAGCAGTACAGAAGAGACTTCGCTCATTCTGGGTATACAGACATTTTTTTTGGCAGGTAACCATCCAACCTCCATGTGGGAACGAGGAACGAACACATCCAAATGATCTCGTTTAGAGGCAAGCAGTTACCTATGCAAATTTGGATGCTCCTCTGGACCTGGGCAAATCTTTGGTTTGCTACTTTCTCCTCCACACACGTTTAGAGGAAGGGCCAATTATAAACTCCAAACCTCCCCGTTCTTTTTGTCGGTTTTATAAACATAATATTAAACATAATGACAAATTATTCTCCCCTTGTATGTCTTGTGCAAACAAAACAGCACATGCAGAGTTATTTCTCTTAGATATCTGGCAAGGCATATGACTGATGGTTAGAAATTTTGACTTGGTTAAAACAAAATTTAGCTCATGTTAAAGCATTAAAGAAATGCTGATGAGGTCAAAGCAAATTCTCTGATAAAGCTGTAAAATCACCCCAACACACAAACATGTCTGAATCCTACCATTAGGCTCTCATGCAGTCTGTTTCTCTGCAGCGAGCAAGTAGCTGTAACCCTTCAGTGCTGCAACTGAGTTTAGCAGAGACACTTGAGAACTGAAGTGACACGCACAGAATGTACTAATTACTATATATAAAGGAATTTCAGTTCTACATAATTTTTTTTTCTATACCGCCACAGAAAGTATTCTGTGGGTTTGTTATCCTGTCCACAAAGAAAGATTTCCATCGTTATTTTTTAGATACATTTTGGGTGAGTGGTGTGGTAAAACAGTTCTGTAAATCGAGTGAATATAATGTATATATGTATATTTCACTTCCTTCTGTAGGTTTCACCTGTAGTAGGCTTTGTCTGTGTGTCAGAGGTAGAGACTTGGAAAAAAAATATATGTCGTGTGAACTTTTCTGACCACAGTGTTTAATTATATATCGGGCTATTAAAGCCTGTTTCCAGCTGAAATGTTTTCCTTAAGAAGCCAGAACTGAAAGGGTTATGGTTTGTTACTGCAGCAGTTATCAGCAGACAGCCATCTAACCTTTGGTACTTACAGGTATTTTATGGCTCTTGATCATATTATCAAATTCTTCATTAATTTTTTTGTATTTTTCTTCAGTGCGTGGGGTGAGAGCGTAAGAGGAGTCAGGATCGGGGCTTTCACAACCTTTGTTTTCTTTCTTGTTCAATGCCTGCCAGGTTCAGAGAAATATCAAAGAGTAAAAAAAATGAAAGGGAGCTCAGAGTACTTACACATAATCTTTGCCTGCTGATCATTAGATCAATATCTTCATTAATTTTTCTGTACTTGTCCTCAGACTCAGGGCTGTGACCTACTGAATCGTCTGCATCGGGGTCTGGACTGTCACAGCCATTAAGTCCTTTCTTTCTCAATGTCTGAAATACATAATTTGGAAAGTTCAATCCTTGACACAGGCTGCAAGAAAGACTCAGCAGTGTTACAGCATTACAAACTGCCCAGCAGTGGAAGGTTTTACATTATGCTTTAGGGAAAGAAAGTGACTAGAGATCCATCACGCTGATGCTGTAGGTCTCCAATTACGAGTGGCAACAGAAAACCATACAGACCTCTTTCTTCTGAAACTGGAATCAGTCAATAAAGAATTAAGCTGGCAATCTGACAAAGTGCCTGTGATAGTACCTCCCCCCCGCCTCCCCCTCCCATATCTGATAGCATCAAGGGGTTAAGATACTCATTCAGAATGCAATTTATTTTAACATATTTATCCATTTGAAATGAATGAACGTTAAAAGCAAAGGGTGCATACTGGTTACAGTGGAATACTCTGGGGTCTTTCTTTCCTCTAAAGAAAGATACAGGAGGAACACAGGAAAAAAACCCAACAAAACCCTGCAACAAATTTGGGAATTCATGTTCTTCACAGAAGAAGGAGGAATACCTAAACTGAATTCTTCTTTTGAATGGGATGTAAGGGATGGCATGAGCAATGCCCTGCCATTCCTAAGCATACGCTTTTGATAGCACAAGGAGGAGGACAGAGTTGTTAATGTGGCTGTGAAATACCGATTAAGAGCTTCTAGACATGGTGTTTACTTTTTATTGACTCCAGTTACAGTGCGACAAATGCACAGTGCTGAAGCTTAATGTACAGGAAAAAAGCGCTGCTAAAAACAGATGCTTGGTGAAAAGTCAAAACCAGATGAATTTCAGGTTCAGCAGCTCAAATCGACCCTCACAACCATGATCATCACCACTAAGATAAATAGCGGAGATGAAAAAGCTTAAAACCAGAATGAAATCGGTAGCTAACAATTCAGAATGGTTGCCTGGCCTCAGATAGGTTTTAACTGATCCACCTTGACAGATCACCAAAGAACAGTCATGGGCTTCATTAAGGTAAAAGAATGTCAGAAGCAAGTCTTTGTGGACTCCCCAAGTACAAGCAACAGTACACAAAGTCAATATTTGTAAGATATCTCAAATTTAGCTTCAGGAATGTCTCAGTCAAAAACTCTTCAAAGAGCCCATTTGGCTGCCTACAAACAGTATTAGGCAGCCTGCAGTTAATTCTGCGCTGAAACCCGGCTAAGCCATCTCAGTTACACCATACAGATCACATAGCACTCTTGTGTTAATAAGCGGCTACGTTTGTGCTCTGTGTTAGTGTGGGATGCTCTAACTGGTTTCTTTTCGCCTCCTCAGAACAGCTGCCTCTTATCTGAGCTTTTTGTTCCTTTTAGAAAAGTACATTTCCTAATTATTTTCTTTATGGCAATGCCCAGTTTACCACCTTTAAAACCCTGAAATATTATAATGTCATACCTTGTTTCTGTGCTACTGTATTTATTTATTAAAAATTAGACTTCGTTTTCTGCAATTTACCTGGGACTTAAGAGCAGAGCCCTCTTATTCCTGAAAGAACTCTAAAGCTGTTCTCCTTGTGGAGACACACCCCCTGAACCTCACATTTTCATCTAGTCGGCAAAATGATCTGCCCTAAGAGATCTGAGCATTCCAAACTTAGGTTCTGGACCTCTGAAACAGATTTAGGCAACTGTGGAAGGCTGGCTCAGTGTAGGTCTTTCGTTTTAGACTTCGTATCTATACAGACTTCACGTCTAATCCCATGAGCGACTGCTGACACACAGGCAAAATTATAAATCCATTGGAATCAAGCCTTAAGAAGCTAAAACAACCACAGTAATTCTCTACACTTCCTCTTATCTGTCTTTTATCTTTTAAATGTTAAGTGGCAGAACAGACATAGCTATGTGTGATTTCTACTGCTACGGCTTGAAACAAGCTAATTATAAAGAGGGCTTTTTGCAATCAGCTTTGTTTGATGGATTTAATAGGTACAATATGATATATTAAAAGTGAAATTTCTCTTTTACATCTGAATAACTAGTGTCAACTAACGTTCTCTTCACATAAGCATAAAAGAGTTGTCCTCTGAGTAAATAAAATATTCTGTTTTCAAGATCCATTAGATCAAGCTGTCCAGACATGAAACCCAGATCAGCACTCTTGGGAACTCTTGAGCCCATGTGAGTCAGCGATGGAGTCCTGCTGATTCACATGGAGTGTCTGAGGAATGATGCTGACGGGAGCTGGACTGGATGGCATCCTCAGCTCCAAGCTTTGAGGTGACAGTCCAGCTCCTCTACTTACAAATGGCAATGACATCTTTTTTCCCCAGAGGTCAACGGGCTACAACGGGCATAGGTGAGGGCAGGGAGCTGCCCCATTGTCATCCTACCAGAAAACCCAGACAAAGAACAATATGAAAAGACAAGAGGGAAAATATTTTGCAGCCTCTTTGAATCTCTTCCTCTCCCAAATACTTGTCGGCTGCATTCACAAGACTGCGTCTGTGTGAAAGAAGACCCACCTTGTACTCAGCACACTCACAATGCCCTAAAGCTCTGCAGCTGTCTGCTTAGCACCCAGGTGAAGCAGTCACTTCTGTGGTCTGTGGAGGTTCGAGAATGTTCAGATATTCAGAGGAGGAAAGGCAATGTAACCCAATGAACGCCTTGCAGCACTCTCCAAAGAGACCAGATTCCCTCCCAACATGGTAATGTTTTTATTTTCACACATATTTATTTTTATTTCCATATCCTTAGAAAGCAGGTTGCTGCCACAGAGAAGAAGCAATCTCTGTTTTCACCAGAAAAGCCAAAGACCAAATTTAGTAAAATCATGTTGGTATTCCACCCAAAATTAACTTTAGCCCTAAAGAGTAGAGGCAAACCTTTCCCTTGCAAAGCTCATCAATCTACTGAGTTTGGCTGGAACCCTGGTTGACGTGGCTAATCAAACTCCCTAATGCAGTGTGCTTCTTCCCTGAGCACCCCACCCACCACCACCCCTTCTACCCCTCGAAAAAAAAAAAAAAAAGGAAAGAAAAAAAGAACATGCTTCAATTTGCTTCAACGAATTGGGGTAAGTTCAGGCAACAGAAATTTCTACAAGTGTGACACAGTCAGAGGCACAGCTCCTAGTTTTGTGAGTGCTGGAGCTAATGCCAGGTTCCCTGTGAATTGCATTTTGGGGTAAAGTGCAATATCTAGAGGAGCTTTTCTGTGGCTGGGTCTTGAGACTTCTCTTGTCCCCCTACCCATTGTTCTGCTGATTCTTTCTTGCTTCGGTGTGTAAGAACTCATGCTGCAATGCCGCCTTCACAGCTGGGAGCCTTTCTGGGAGTAATTTCTGGTTCTCTTTTTCTTCACAAGAACATAGAATTTTCATGAAACTTGCTGGAATTTCATTCTCTATGAGACCCTTTTGTGCCAGATTTGCTTGGCACTGAATAAAAAATGAAAAAGCTATAAAGACAGTAGAACAGACTATCTGATAGGCTGCACAGGCATATGGACACACACCACACGGACACAGAGCCCTCCTCTGGAGAGGAGAGCAGGCTGAAAGTGACATACTTATCCTCTGCACTAAGGTACTGAGTGGTATTCAGGACAAATATAACGATCTCTGGCTTCTCAACATGCAGGCTACGGTTTTGCCTGTTCTACTGCCTTGTTTGTTACTTTACTCTCCTCCACACCATTGCCTGCTACAGCATACCCTCCATAAAGGTCATTTATTGTTGTGCTTCAATACAGCGTAACTGGAGTCAGTACGGCACGACTGCAAACGGCACTGGCTAGGATCTAACTGATCCATCCTTATTCACAAGACCTCTGGACTCCATGCCATTTTTTCCTCCTCTCCTCTGCTCTGTGTCACCTCCTGAAAGCAGAGCCTGGTTCTGGACATCAGGGAAGGCTGGAGTCATTAAGAAGACCAACTGGGTTTCAGCAGGCTACAGTCTTTGACCCCGTCTTGCAGTGATTTAGAAACCATTTTTCTTCCCATGTTAAGCTGTCACAGCCTCTTGCAAACCCTGGAAAATAGCCAGACCTATCGCATCCTCCTGGAGATTAGCTAGTTTCCAAAGATGTAATGACTATTCAGGGAATTTTTAAGAGGATAAAATTACACAATTGTATAGTGCATTGCATTCTAGAGAACCCCAAGCCAGATTTCAGTTATTTTTAAAGAAAATAAGCCATTTTTGAACTACGGAAGCTCCACTTCTTCCAAGCAATTAAACAAGTAATTATATTGGACTCCAATAACCTAAAATCAGCCAAGGCATTTGAAAAACAAAATGGTTAAAGGAAAACAACCTTTGGCTGAAATCTCATATGCCAGCAATTTAGCCTAAATCCTGCTCTATAAATCTCAGAGGAGAAGTGCTGACTTAGTGACATACTGGCTGCTGTAAAATGAAGTATAAACAACTATTTACTTTCATTTCATGCAAAATTTATCATCACTACAAAAGCACAAAAGAAAATATGGCACTAACAGCCAGGTCTGATTTTATCAAGGCAATGGAAATCATCGCAATTTGAAGGCTTTTGAGGAGGAAAAGCCTTTTATTTTCCTAATCCAGTCTCTGTTTCTGCAGTATTATCCCCTTCTTTTAGCATTTATTTAACAGGAAGAGTGGAAAAGGTTAGAAATGATTATTTTTTTTTCATCCTGTCCTTCAGTTTGCTCATCTTTGTAGAGGGGTATCTCCTTTCTTCTTAATAGGTTCATCTGACATGGAACTGCTCCCCACAGCACTCCATGGCTTGAGAAGCCACAGATATTTGGCTTGGAAATGCTCACAATACAGCTGCCAAATTAAAAAAAAAAAACAACAGGTTGGTCGATAAGGTCCCCAAAAGGTTCAGACCAGCCCACTCTGTCTGTTCCATTCTGATATCCTCTGCAACAAAGATATAACTACTGCAAGGTTAATCACTATCTTCATTTGTGTAACAAAAAGTGTGTTCTCACTGGCTCTTCATCCATAATCAAAATTTACAGGATGGAAAAAAATCAGAATTACAGGTCTTCTTCT